AAAGAAAGAACACCTGAATTCTCTGAGTGATTTTTCATGCAATGCTGATTAAGGATGTATTGGGGTTGCATGGCAAGGTTTTGGAAGCAGGAGAGGCTACAGGGGTGGCTTCTGTGAGAARCTGCCAGAAGCTTCCCCCTGTCTAAAAGAGACAATGCCAGCTGGCTCCAGCAYAGACCCTCTCCTGCCCATTAGCAGCAATGCCAGTGGCCTCTGGGATAATACAGTTAAGAGGGGGGAAAAAMCCCCATGCAACAGCAGCTAGGAGGGGAATCAGCCAGGGCCACCCTCCCCAAAGTCCCCAGGAGCTGTCTGGAGCTCTCTTGCAGTCCAAGGTATTCAACGTGGGGGCTTATCACAACAGTTTGCCACAAGGAATATGCAGAGCGAGGTTCCCATGGTAGTTAACTCACACTGAAGAACAATTTTGAAAATCCACAGTTTAATTGGCATAAATAGAGTTTTCTCCAATATTTTCTCTATTTTCTGTTTCACGTGAAAGGCAGCAGTAAAATTATTTCACAGCAGATTTTTTTTTTAGGCTATGCTTAGGTCCTTGGAGAACAGTTGAATCGTGTGTAAGATCCATGCAGCAAGGATAACAGTTTTGAGATAGAATTCGAAAGAATTTTGATTGTTATTTCTTTTTCAGGCTCCTCTGACTATTTTCAAATTAAATTAAAATTTAATTTCAAATATTTTCAAATTAAGTTCCTCYTCAGAAATACTCCTCCAGCTTAGCTTTTTAGAAAATCCTTGTATGTGACAAATCTGAAGCAAACTGGCAAGAATAATTCTTTAGTTTCCATCTGCAGCAATGCCATTCCATATATTATGAATGTAAGACACACAAGTGTTTATAGGAAAGACTTCAATTGTTTCAATGGATTGGGTCTTTTTATCTTGTGCATTTCTAAACACATCAAGCACGGCTACACGTTTCTTTTTCTCTTCTCACTCCCTGAAGGAATCATCTAACAAACTGGGGYCCAAATGGAAAGAGTAGAGATGCAGCTCAGGGTGTGATTTCATGGTCAGCTTCATCTAGCTGAACTCTGAAATACTACTGCAAGGGACAAATCTTCCTTTCCCCCAGCTCACCTGCCTGTCCTCCACGCTTTGTGTCAGCACATGGATTTGCATCCTCAGCAGTCAGCCAGATCCGGTCCCCAGTGCAGCTGCACAGATGGATGAGTGCTGCTGCTGACACAACACAAGGACAGGGGACAGGCACCCTTTCACCACCTTTTGGGAGCTTAGAAATAGATTAGCCATGGCTGATGCAAAACTACACCCAAGTATCACTTCTTTTTGGTGAAGAAAGGAAACAACAGATTGCCATCCCATTCACTGCACAACAACAAATCAGATTACTGATAAATAGTAAGGATTTGGAATTTCTGCCTTTATGATACTATGGTCACTGATAATACAAATGGAAAAAGATATGTCAGACAAATGTTTGCTTCAAGAGATCGGACAATAAATGCAAATTAAACCAAATTAAATGAAATTATAAGAGAAATTTTACAGACAGGGAACTGTGAGGCTTGAAGATCAGTTTTTCATTACTTTCATCTTCATCTCAGAAAATACTACTTACAAAACTATACTGAATATTGGTGTCATGCAAATTAGCATTACATGAAAAGCTGGCTTAGGAGGCAGATCTCAATCAAATGGAATGGAAAAGGCAATACACTAGTGGCTTCAGCAGAATTTGGAGGAAGCCTTTAACATTTTTATCCATTCTCCCACTGTCTGCTGAACACACAAAAAGATGGCAGAAAAATTTCAAGAGCTTTAAAAAGACAAGTCTAGGAGACCACCGAATGAGTAGTGCAAAGTTAACTTTTTCTTGGAAACAGGTATTCTCACTGTTGAGAAAAAAGAGCAATTTCACATCAGAAGAATTAAATAATAGGGGGGGAAAGGGACAGTTTCCTCTACAGCAGTTAGCACTGGCCATTATCAGTGCCAAGATTCCAGATTAGCTAGACCACCATTCTGATCCTGAAAGACTTCTATCCAGATCACTGCCCTTCACCTCATCAGTGATCCCGTGTCTCAAACCGTGACTCTGCAAGGCAGCAGGATACAGACATGGGTGCTCTGTTCTGCACTAGGATATACAACTGCACTTCCCACGGCCATCACAAGRAGCTGTACGGGTACCTATTGCCAGGAAGGGTGGGGTGAGAGCACTTGGAATGCAGCTACTGAAAGTTCAAGTCAACAGGTTTGGAAACTTGGCAAAGGCAACACAGACAAATAACTCAAGGTTTGCAGGGCACCTCTGTGACTGGTATAAATCAGAGGAGTACTACTGAGTTCAAGGGAACCTGCCAATGCACGACAGACGAGCACCCACTCCTTTGCTATGCTCCTCTGAATCCTGGTATCTGAACTGCTTGGATCTCATCCAGTTTTCTAGTGTTTCCTCCAGGCCAAGAAGAGAACCACGCAAAACGTTCTGCCATTCTCAACACGGTGAAAAATGAAATCACATTTGACCATGAAAGTTGATCCTCCATTTTTTGCACCAGCAAAGAGACAGAGGAGATGTAAAAAAATAATAAGGAACTTCCTGTCCTTCTTTCAAATCCCCACCCTATAAGTGCTTTCCKGCTGCTGACAGAAATGAAAGTCAGCCTGGATGAATCCAGCAGAGATACCCAGAGGCACCAGAGCAGTGCTGGGCCCCTCCCAACGCCACACCACAGTTCAAAGCCTTGAAAGGCTGCAGATCTCCCACCGTGCTGCAGTTCAGCTCCCACCCAAAGAGCCACATACCTTGCAGCAGTCTACTCTCTTTGCAGCATTATCTCCTCTATTGCAGGAGGTCTCCTGTACCTTCTGCCAGCACAGTCACATGTTGCTCTCATGGTGCTCAAATGCTGAGCAGCATCTCTGCTCCTCCTGCACATTTTACCTCCAGCCRCAGGTCAGTGCCAGCCAAAGATCTTTGTTTGCTGAGTAAGTAAGAAATAAGGATGTAAAATACAAATGAAAYGAATCAAAAACAAATCAAACCTTTTCAAAAGTTAAAGGGATTCATACAAGTTGAAGTTTATTTCTTAGCACAATAAGAACTCAGCTACTTGGACTGYTGATTTAGCCAATAGCTTGGCTACAGAAAAAGATGGCTCCTAGTTGCAAGACCTGGCTTAATTAATACCAACTTCCAAAACAACTGAAATTGTCAAGCATCTGGCTCAGCCTGTTACAGAAASTCAGGCAGGACCTGAACTTTGGCTAGAGATTTGAATTTTACTGTATTTTAAATCTGATAGTGAGAGGGTTCGAACAGCAAGTTCCTCTGATATATCTTCAGTAAAACAAACACAGTTCTCTAACCCTATCATTTTCCCAAGATGCTGCTGTGTTGTGGACTGAAGGGCTGGGAAGAGAAAGGAGTGGAGGAGGGAGAAAAAAGTTCCTCATTCCTCCCTATTGCCCTTCCTGTTTTCATGTCTGTTTATTCAGAGGATTGTCTTTCCACAAGCAAACAACTAGAGACAAGCTCACTCCAAATGTATGTTCTCTCGTGTTTCAAGCACTTGCTCTCTGTTCTCGCTGAATGTTTAGTTACAGCATGAAAAATGGATATGTGGAATGAAGACATTTCCCCTTTGACTAGCACATTTGCCGAAGGTATGTCAAGGATCTGAGGCAAGGGGTATGGGCAAGCTTTCAAGAAAGTTTTCCCCCCTCTTCTCCTTTGCTTGCTTATTGGAAGAGCAATAAATATCAAGCAGACAGACCCTTCTCACAGTTACAAAGCCTACCTGTAACTGAGCTGGATAATTAGCAGCCTTGAAGATGATATATGACTTTCATTACCCTTTGGGACTGGAGACTAAATGAGGACAGAGCTAATTGCCGTGCAAAGCAGTTTGGCATGAATGAGAAAAATGCAGGCGCTGTCTCCTGCCAAAAAAGGGCCCTATTGCTGCTCTGATCTCATGGCTGGTTTTTGCCGCAGGAGTTCACTTGGTGTCCATAAATCATGGTCTGCTTACAGCTGAAACTGCACTGAGTCATCAACATGCAATAAGCTGAGTGACAGATTCCAGCCTGACTACATTAGAACTTCAGACTTAGTCCTCCCCCCCACACTACCCGTACTTAACAGAAAATTAAACCCAGACTACACAGACATGAAGGCTGTGAGAAATACAAGGCTTGTTTACTTGACAATAGTTTTTTAAGACTGATGTTTCCAGGAAATAACATCGTGCATTTTGAAAGGGAGAGGGCCACAAGTACTGAATTTATAAAGTGACCCACTGCTATAGTACTTGGTTTGTCCTTCCTCATGTAATAGCTGATTAAAATGTATTGCCCTCCTTTAATGATCTAAAGTGGCACTTTGTCATCTTAGTTCTTATGGAGATAGATTTAGTCAGCTAACTGAGAAAATATTTTGCTGCTCTTTAAAATTAGGCCAGAAGAACTTGAAATTTGATTGCAAACCTGCTTCCAAAGTGACCTGGGGCATATTAACATCCATATCGTACCCTTAAGAAGTGTGGGCTTCTGGGGAATCTAACCCATCAGTGCAAAAGAGAGTCCTTGAAGAATCTCTTTTGTCTCCCCATTCYGTTTTACAGAAGATCTTTTGCTTTTCCCTAAAGGTACCTTAGGTCTATTTTTTTTTTAATGGAAGAGATTGTGCTGAATTTGCAATATGGTATCCTGTCAGATCCTAATCAATTAGCCCACATCAGCTGAGTATAAGGCAGATACCAATTTAACTCACAGAGCTAAGCCTTCTGATTTTCTCTAAGGGCAGTCACATAACTCATTCTTTGTAGTGCCAAATTATATTTGACATTTAATTTAAAACTCAAGGTACCATAATGCAAAATCTCACTAAAAATAATGGTGATAAAGCAGAGGAACATTTCATTTGACAGTGAGGATTTTTTCAGCTTATTTATGCACCCAAACTTTTCCCCCTCACCCACCTTTCAAAGCCCCAAACTCAGGAGGCAATCACTTTGAGGTGATTTTAGCATCTACAGGTGCTTGCATACAGCAAAGGGGCACTTAAAGGTGAAGCAAACAAGGTGATTGCTGAGCACCTTTTGGTGGGTGAGCTCTGYCCTCCTCTCCCTGATGACACATAAGCTTGACTTTTCATGCTGCTGTAGATAGTGGAAAGAAATATTTCCACAGAGTGGCTGGGCTAACTGGGCACACTGGTTGTGTGWGGACAGGGGAAGGGGGAGTCAGCCTGAAAAGGCTGAGTTTTCTATGTTTAGAAGACCCAACAAGAGAGAGGAAGAAAAAAATGTTTAATGGCTTCATTCACCATTCTCTGCCATGCCGTAACTCTATTCACAGTGACCTGGCACAATGGAAGTCTGGCGGTTCATGAAGCATGTCTAGACYCTGACAATGCTGGTTCAGGCACAAACGGTAATAAAAACCCCAAGTTCTCCTCCTTTCTTGAAAAGCACAACACACTGTGAATTGGTGGGGAGTTCTAGCCATGGGCTCACTTAGCAATTCCAGCWACAGTCAAACTCTAATAAAAGGCAYTGCTGGGAAAAATTGCAYRGCCAYCTCTGTCAAGGTGAGSGGYTTGTAGGGACTATCTGTTGGTAGTGTGCAAAATGCTAAGCAGCCAGACATTTGCCTGGCTAATCCAGAGCAGCTCTACAGGAAGAGAAAGTAATGGATAACAGCAGGCTCTGCATTGTTGAGACAATACCATATAGCAATAAACTAAGGATACTGGTAGCACAATCCTCCCGAGAGCGACTCAACTTTTGTCCTGTCAAGAAACAGCTACTGCTTTGCAATAAAAAGAAGCAAATGTCTAATGYTCTCATCCTTTATGCGCCAGATTAGCTCTTGGGGAAAAAAATCATCACTGGTCACAACATGCTTCTCAGCCTAAGATGGATGACTCAAATTCGGGGATGTTAGGTCTTTCTGTGGATTTCAATCCCTGATTAAGATGAAAACAGTTCAGGGCTAAACTTTGGTATTTTTAGAGTGAATGTAGGCCTCAGGTAAAGCATTCTTGCTCTATTCCACATTTGCATGTAGGTGCACGCATATGCTAGTGGGAGTCAAGCTCAAAACCTTACCCATGTGAATGGATCCMTGTCTTTTAGTACTTGCTATGTGCTCCACATTTATGTTCTAGAATACACAAGGTATTATCTGGAGTATAAAATATGGACAGGAAATAAAGTTGCTATGTACCTGAGTGAGAGAGTGCATTATCAGCATACTTGGAAATGAAACAAACTGTATTTGATGTTGATATGGAGTGGCTGTGTGGCAGGTTTAAATTAGTGAAACAATTGTGAGGGCATAACAGYGCTGTAGACGGTAATTCCACCATTKTGGAATAAAAAACACAAACCCAAAACTTCTGGAAAAGCAATTCTTCAGCATTGTATAACATAGAGAGATCCATTCTATAGCATGTGTCCTGTAATTCAGCTCTTCCAGACTTCCTGAGCTGCGACTGTATAAAGACATCATTTTCAATAGCAAGGACTTTGTATTTTAATTGTAAAGACAGGAGTACCTTTCACAAGTCTAGAGAACTGCTTTCTTAATCTAATTATACTTCAGCTTTTATAACATACTGTGGAGTTCCACAGTGTATTAATGTTTTATGTGGAAAAATACTTCCATTGGTTTAAGCACTATTAACAATTTTAAGAAATAGAGATTAAGCATTCCCTATTATTTTTCATAAAATTTCAGATTGTATCATCAGGAATTATGCAGATTGCACACCTCSATCTCTACTCTCATTTTACTTAGCCTCTCCTCATCTGGAAATCTTTCCAGAAATTGGCTCACTGCTTTTACCTTTTCTAAATCCTTTACATAGGGTATTTTGAGTCCAGGGCAAAGTATGATTTTCAAGATGCTAATCTGTTACAGTTTCATATCATCCACCTCATACTCAGCACTGCCCCAGAAATTTTTATGATTGTCAATTTGTGTAGGTACACTTATAACTCCTCATCAATTTAAGAGCAGCATTTTGGCACACAGTGATGTAAAGAAGACTCAGAAAACAGCTTGTTTACTCCTCATTTCAAATAATCCCAGAAAAATGGATTAGAGTTATTTTCAATCCCTTATGACATGGTATTTTATAATTAATTGCACAAACACATTTGTCACCATCTTAATCATAGTTTACAATGATTTCAACAAGCTCTATTCTGTTCCAGTTTAAATTCCCTCAAATTCTTCCAAGCTCCATTGTGGAGCAACTCTCCACATAATTTAAACTTGTGTTTAACCACAGTTCCAGGTCCTCATCATATTTGTATTGAGGAGCATTTTCCCAAAGCACAAACAGCAATAGCCTCAAACAATTTGAATTTCCTGGCCACTGTCTGTCCATCCAATCCGAGGAGCTGTAATATCTTACATTTCCTCATCACTGACCAAAGTATTTCTGAAATTCCAAGTTAATTAGTGCAACATTCCAACTACTGTAAGAAGCTAAACCCTGGTTTTCCAATGGGATGAGCAGGGGTTGCTRCTGTTCCATATACAATAAAAATAAATTCCCTAGACAACAACCAGTAAAGCCTAGATGGCCAGATAACAAAAGATGAAAAACACAGSACTTCTTTTTCTCACATTGTAGTTAGTTAAGGAAAGAAAGGCTGACAGAGAACAAATATTTTGCCCAAGATTGCCAAAACTAGGTGAAACAAGGACAAAAATTTAATCCAGATTTCTTTAGACTCATTATGGATCCTGTATCCCATGATCATTTTGCTCAGTAAATAAATGGTAATCACAGCCTGACCAGCAGCCTACTGAATTCAACAGGAAGAGCTGAGGACATGCACAGCAAACTAGATTTCTTAGTTTTTAAGGCATCTCTAATTCATTAGCCATGAATAATATAATATTCACAGAGGCCCATCTGGTGTTCAGTTTTGTCTATAAGTGYTTTGCATTGTTGGTCTGATAACAC